ATATGAACTCAAACACATCTACTTTGTAGTAACTTACACACCTTTTAGAAGCAAACGTCCCGCCCTGACCCGTCAAGACATTCCTGGGTACTAGGCTTCGTGTAGCGCACCTTATAGAGATTGACATCTCGCCCGGATACGTCAAGGCGCCTGTGCAGCTTCTCTCTGGGACATTTTATTCCTCCAGTCCCTTGGACAGCTTCTCTCTGGAGCAGTGTATTTTGTAAGTGAGGTAAATGGAGTGGCCGACACACGTTGACTTAGGTTTTTCACTGAGTTTAAACCTGTCTGAGGTTTATACTCGACTTTCTATCATCACTGAGCAATCCCCGTCTATCTACCTCTCGCTTATCTAATAGGAAAGCTCAACTGATCCGATCCTTTACAAACTTTAATATGACCTCTGTATCCAAGTTCGCTAGATACAGTATCCTGTGGAAAGGCTATTAATACACTGCGCGCCAGGTTATTATGACCACCTACATTTTGATCTGTAACTCAGTCTGTTTTACGAGCTAGATCATTTCCACCAGTTGCGACAATACAAAAGCTATAATTGGTCAATAATGTTCATACTCAAATTTGATTGACCTGTGACTCCACACCAGCTCGGACAAAACGAAGACAATCCACTACAGATCTCACAAAAAGAAGTCCATGTCGGTGAATCCGTTTAGCGCAGCGTCGAGATGCCCCCAGGCTTATCTCGACATTGAAGACGAAGACGAGGAGGAGGATCTTGTCATTCAGCAGCTCCTATATCCTGATCCTCATGCTGTCGCCCAGCGACGCGGAGGGTCACGCCCCGGCAAACGTGCCAACAAGAACTGAGACTTTCAGATATGTTTTATCGCGTTTTGAACGGTGTAGTTGGTGCAGATTCCGCGTATTTTGAGCAGCGACCGAATGCAGCAAAGAAAATTGGCATTCACCCTCTTATGAAGGTGACATCTGCCTTAAGGGTTCTAGCTTATGCAATGTCCGCTGATTCTATAGACGAGAATCTGGAGATGTCCAAGACGGTTATCTACAATAACGTCTGTCATTTTGTGGATGCCGTAGACAAGCAGTTTGGTGACGAGTATCTACGATCTCCTACGGAATCAGATATGAAGCAGCTACTCGAATTAAATGCGCGGCGTGGATTTGTCGGAATGTGGTACAGCATCGACTGCATGCACTGGGAGTGGCAAAACTGCCCGACCGGTTGGGCTGGGCAGTTTAAAGGCAAGGAGAAAAAACCTACGGTTGTTCGTCGTAGCACTCTACATAAGCAAAATGCTGGTTGTAGCGCTCTTTATACAGCGCCAACGCCTGCTTCATCATATCCCTCTCAGTTGATCCAGACGTTTTCAGAGGCTCAACGTGAGTCGAACAGCCAACATACTTTGCAATTGACTTTTGAATTTGACCAAAATGCGCCTGGAAGTTTGACCACGTACGACTTGGCATCTTTCCTGATGCTAGAGCAACCGATATGAGCTCCGAATTCTCCATAATATCCTTTACTCGACACCAAAAGTCCTTGGCGGTCTGGTTAACTCCGACTAATGCGTCGGTAGACACCTGTACCCATGCTCGCGCTAGCTCCAAATATTCAGCTACAGCATAGTTACCCCCTCGCGCTACTTTCTCTCGTGCTGGCATCTTTGAGAAGATTTCGTTCGCACACTGAGCGCTGAAGGGTCGCACAAGGTAGTGTTTTGTCAGCGATCATCGGTGTGTTATATCTTGTCGAAGGATGACCGGAGGATGGTCGATGGGCAAATTTAGTCCGTGTTTTGTCGAACTGGTGCGAGCCCAAAAAGTCATCCGTTGGTTAAATTTTGTTTTTTTGTCGATGTTTTGTCCCAACAGGTGGAAATGCTCTTAGCTGATGCTATTTAGATATGCTGTTTCTATCGCCAAACGCAGTTTGGGACTTGTTTTAACGCGTGGGATATCGCAGTTTAGAGATGGGCTAGTATACAAGCGACCGTTTTCGTCGTTGCGACCATTATTATGACCACCTGTAACCATACAAAAAACAAGCAAGAAATAATGATGGTTAATGTGGCCCAGCCACTCATTGAAGGCAGTCTTGTGCGATGCCATTTCGGTTTGGGCACAGCCATTCCTAGCGTTATAGGGAGAGGGCCGCCACTATCTGACGAGGAAAAGGGGTGAATTCAAGGGCTCTATGAAGGAGTATTCAGCCTACGAGAGATTGAGCGGCGAACTACACGCTCGCGAGGTGCCATACATTGCGCCCTGTTCGAAGAGGAGCCAGAGCGCAAGAAACCCGGTCCCGCAGCTGCATTGTCGGACCGGGAGGCCCGGGTCCTGCTACGTACTGCTGCTAAGGGGAACTTCTCAGCTCGACAGCTCAAGAGCGAGCTGAATTTGGCGGTGTCAGTCCGCATAATTCAGCGTGTACTTTCCAACGTAGACTGGCTAATCTACACAAAATGGACAGTACATTGCCGCTCTCCGCTGAGGACAAGAAGGCAAGGGACGATTGGGCGTGGAGAAGGGTCCTTAACACGGATGCCGCTGGGCCGTGGGAGCTCATCATCTTCTCAGACGAGAAAAAATGGAATTTCGACGGACCCGACGGCTTCCAGACCTACTGGAGGGACATCCGCTTTTTGGACATCCGCCGCCCTCCTAGGCAGATCGAGCGACGCCAAGCTGGTGGACGGTCGGTAATGATGTAAGCAGGCATCAGTGCCGCAGGAAAGACCGAGCTGGCGGTGCCGCATGGGAAGCAGAACTCGGGCGACTACGTTTACACAGTCTCCGAGTATCTGCTTCCGTTTGCCCACCTGCACTATGGCACTGATTTTGTCTACCAACAAGACGGTGCATCCATACACCGGTCTTAGAGGACTAAAGAGTTCTTTAACGAGCAATATATGCACGTTCTTGACTGGCCTGCTGGGTCGCCAGATATTAATCCCGTTGAAAACATGTGGTCAATCATGACCGGACGTGTATACGCCAACGGTAAACAGTATTCCACTGCTGCTGATCTAACTGCAGCTCTATACGAAGCATGGGACTCGATCGGAGAAGCACTCTTAGTCTCTTTGATAGAGGTCATGCCGCGCAGGTGCAAGGAGGTCATCAAGAAGCATGGTAACAAGACACACTATTAATGTAGCCATATTGATCATCATTCATTCTTACTTGTTATTGTATGGGTACGGGTGGTCATGATAATGGTCGCAACGACAACAACGGTCGCTTGTATACTAACCCATCTCTAAACTGCGATATCCCACTCAGATTACCACGGAAGCTGAGTACATTGCTATGGTCAAGGGTATTTAGGACCTACAGTGGATGGTGCGTCAACTGTGTGATGGGTTGCAGTGGGAGTACGAGACATCGTTGTTGCTGGGCGACATTACTATAAATACATGACGGCACACCAAGGCAAGTACAATCCAACCAAACACATTGAGAACAAGAATCACGTCTCATAAGATCTCGTTGAAACGAAGAAGCTGGAAGTACAACATGTTGGCATCAGCGACGTGGTGGCTGACATCATGAAGAAGGCGCTGGGTGCTGTTTGCACGATTCAGAAGGGCACTCAAGGTTCTTTCTCCAAAGCATCTCACAGAGGGACACATCGGTGAGTAGCAACGTGGAACACTGTGTAAGCTCTGGTGGCTTAAGTGCTGTTTTCGCGGAGATGACACGATGAGGTGAGTGTGTGTCCCTATTGTCGGGGCTGCTATAGCGCTATACTTACTAGGAAGCAAGGAACAGAGCTCGTCTCTATATTGGATCAATAATCTTTCGGGTAAAGTTGAAGCATTCGATCTTTTAGTTTGGTGGTCGCCTGCAATGAAGGGCACTTAATGTGCATGGACTATGTGTGAGTGTGACAAGCAGAAGCTCGCATAGAATCTTAGCAGCCTCAGCTCGGTGAATCCGTCTGTGTTGTGCACCCGAAACCGTGAGGACTTCATGCTGAGTAGGTTAACCACAAAGCAGTGAGGGTTGACCTGGAAGGAGAGACACACAGACACAACCAAAGGGACTCTCAAGGAGTCAAGTGCCTTCCTTTCTGCAAGTCCGTTGGTGCCCCCAACAAACGATCAGTGTTCATCTGTATGGTGCTTTCCGACGGAGAGGAAACCGACTGCGTGTAACATGCGCAGATGACCTTCGCGACCCTCTTGGTAGCACCGCTACGACAGTCTGATGCTCCACCTTCAGCTTTAGCTGTTCCCCCTTCATCAGCTGTACCGCCACGGTCATCTGATCTTGATCCATTTTTTCTCTAGGTGGTCGAAGCAAGTATGCCTGAGTCACATATTATTTCATTGTTACGTTATACTACTGCTGTAGAAGTACTACGTAGTGTCACTCGCTTTACAAGCCACGTGCGCCAACCTCTGCAAATGTTATGCCGCTAAATATAACGAGGCGGAGCGCAGCAGAATTGTTTTAATGTGCGCTACAGAGATTGTCACAAAGAATTTTCTTTTGTAAAAAGTCAAAAGAAAAATTGGGGTGGGATCAGTTTGGTTTTTGGACGGCATTGTAACAAGGTATAAAATGTCCCGACCATCTCAGCTAAAGCTGTTTGAAACGTTCATCATTTGGGATTAGAACTTCTAGGAAGAATTAATCCCACACCTGATTTGAATAAAATGCCACATCTCTAGCGCTTATAACAAAGATTAAAACCTTACGGACAGTTTGCATAATAATCTTCTAATTCACTTCAACTACATGTACGAAAAGATTAATGATAAAAGAACGGTTCGTGTCAATCTCTGGACGCTTCGGAGGGCGTGGTTTCGGATCCAGCTCGAGGCGCATCGCATCTTTTCTTGAACTCCGTCACGGAGCTATGAGCAGTGCTGCCGCTTTTTACCTTTGGGTTGGTCATACACACTCACATGACGAAAACCGAGATAATTTTAGGCTAAACCAGCAGCACAATGAGCAACAATCTATTATCGTCAGCGACTCAAGTGTCCAAATTCTGATATATCTGTTGTCTACTCTTCGTTCACTTGAATGTGGTACTCCTCAAGCTGTTGAGGGAGTACCGGTCCTGGTGCGTTAGTCATGAGCTCATTACCCGTGGACGATTTGGGGAACGCAATCACATCGCGAAGACTCGGTGCTCCACACAAGATCGCAACAAGGCGATCCAGCCCCAAGGCAATTCCTCCATGAGGTGGAGCTCCGTGACTTAGAGCTTGCAACAAGTGTTCAAAACTCTGACGTTGCAGAGTCGGTAGCTCTAGCACATCCTCAAAAACCGCTTGCTGCAACTTAGCCTGATGAATACGAATAGACCCTCCACCGAGTTCCCAGCCGTTGCATACAATATCATAGTGCTGGGCCGTGATCTCCAGAAGCTTCTCAGCGACTTCAGGGTCTTCCAACAAGCTCTTGTCACCTGCTTTGGCTAAAATCTCGTCCAAAGCAACAGCATGGTCGGGTCGAGGAGCCGTGAACGGGTGATGCGTTGCCGATAGCGCAACTTTATCGCCACTCTCAAGAATGTTTCCGTCATCATCCTCACTTCGTTCAAACATCGGGAAATCGATGACCCACAAGTGGTGGAAGTTATTTGGGTCCAGTTCTTGTTGCAAGAACCCCTTAGCGTACAGCAACTGCGACATGTATGTACGCAGACGTCCCAACAGAGTGTTGACCTCATGATACGAACCCGCAGAGAAGATTAGCACATCTCCCTCTTCCGCGTCTAGACGTTCGTTCAGCTGTTCCATCTCAGAAGCGGAAAGTTTCTTGGCAAGCGAAGATTTCCACTTCTTGTCCGCTTCCACTTTGACCACAAAAGCGCCAGTTTTGGACGTGCGTTTAGCTGTTTTCTCCAGCTCATCCACGTCTTTACGGGAGAATCCTCCAGTCGCTAGAGATTTTGCATTGATGGCGCGAACCACGCCGCGTTTACTGTGGATCTTCGTGTTTTTGTTCAAAAGCGCCGTCTTGAACGGAGCGAACTCGCATTCTTGCAGTAGATCGTCGACATCTTTCAGTTCGATACCGTAACGAGTATCCGGTTTGTCGACGCCGAAGCGGTGCATGGCTTCGTCAAAGGGCATACGTACGAACGGACGGTCGGGTAATTCTTTACTTGCTGCCTTCCATATTTCTTTAACCAGACGTTCCATCAGATGCATGACGTCTTCACGAGTGACAAACGACATTTCCAGATCGATCTGAGTAAATTCTGGTTGACGATCGGCTCGGCCACCTTCGTCACGGTAGCATCTCGCAAGCTGGAAGTATTTATCCAAGCCGCCGACCATCAGGAGTTGTTTGTACTGTTGCGGGCTCTGTGTAAGTGCGTAGAACTGTCCTGTAGTTCTGGTAGGTACGAGGAATTCTCTGGCACCTTCGGGTGTGCTTTTGAAAAGGGTTGGCGTCTCTATTTCTAAAAATCCCTCAGAACTCAGAAAATTTCGTGCAGCGAGGGAAATTTTAGAACGCACGACGAGGTTTTGTTGCAGTGCGGAGCGCCGCAGATCGAGGTAGCGATGACGCAATCTTGTGTCCTCATTGGCCACTTCAGATCCCGTGGCCACTTGAATCGGAAGGTTCACACACGAATTTAGCTCTGTGATCTCCTCCACGACCACTTCCACCGCGCCTGTAGCCATCTTGTCGTTGCGCATATTGGCTGGTCGTGCGCGAACGACCCCTGAGGCCTGTACCACAGACTCAGGGCGGATTTTGCTCACCACATCGCTGGATGATTGTAAAAAGTCTTTCTCCAGCACCAATTGCGTGACACCGTAGCGGTCTCTTAATGACAGAAACGAGATGGGGCCGAATGGGCGGATGGCGTCCACCCAGCCGCTCAGTGTCACGCGCTGCCCCTCATGTGGCTCCTGACGCAGCTCCCCACACGAGTGAGTGCGGAACGAACTGAAGGAACGAGTCAGCAGCGAGCGCGTCGACACGTGCCGCAGCCTAGAGCAGTAGCAACTTTGTGAGATAGATGCAAATGGCAACAATTTAAGCAGAGTGATGGTCAGTCAGTACCTTGTGGCAAGCATTTTAGGTCGGTCAGCTTGGCTCAATTTCCGATGTGCGGTCTCCGGTTTAATGTTGTTTAAGCTCTAAAACCTACACCAGATGTACACAATGTAGCCATGTCTTTGTCCAATTTTGATGCGGGGACCAGCCATTTCGTAAATGGTGGCGACGGGAGTGTTTCTGGCGGTGGTGCAGGACGTCTTGGTGACGCTACGCAACACGACGGTGTTTGTGCTGACTTCGGCTGGCTTAGACACGCCGAAATTGCTGCGATTTGAGGTCTTGCAGGGCGCTGACGGTGTTTCGGAGACTGTCGACGACGATGATGAAGCCAATTCGTCAAAGAAGAAGCAGGCCACGCAGCCTGCGCCGCCGGCCAACCGCATCACAAGCGTGGAATTATTTCAACCGCAGGGATCGGATCTCTTAGCTTTGCTTCTGCTCGTGGATGAGCGACGCCTGGTCCACTACGAGCTGAACCTGTCGGCCGAGACTCTGGTCCTCAAGGCTGCGCGCTCTGTGCCTCGTAGCGCTACGTGCATGACTGTAGGCCACTTGCAACTACCCACTGGAGAGACCAAATACGTAGCTATCGTAGGCCAGAAGACAGGCGAGGCTGTGGCCGTGCCCTTCCCGGACGTAGACCGTGATCTCAAGACGCTACTGGGCCACACCACGTCCATGGTCACTCACGTGGCTGTCAACCACGATTCGTCGCTACTACTTACAGCCGATCGTGACGAGAAGCTGCGTGTGTCGAGGTTCCCGAACGCCGCAATCATTGAAAGCTACTGCTTGGGCCACGCAGCTAGTCTCACCAAGGTAGCATGCAGTGTTGTGACCCCGGAGCTTGTGGTGTCCACGTCTATGGACAACACTTTGAAGCTCTGGCAGATGACGACAGGCAAACTACTCGCGTCTGAGACGCTGCTTCCCGGCGTCGAGGTGTCTCTAGAGCCTCTGGACGAGGAAGCTAGTGACGACAGTGGCCGTCAAGCGGCCAAGAGTCTGATCAATGTGTCGCTTACCGTTTGCCCCAAGACGAACATCGTGGCCGTGCTCGTGAACTACCAACACGTGCGGTTCTTCGAGATCGTGGCGGACACCCTAAAGGAACTCGAGATTTCTAACGAGGACGTGCAGACCTTGCTAGCAGACGAGCCGTGTGAGCTGCTGTTCACGGAGAACGGAGTGCTGGCCGTGTCGTACAAGAAGGATCCTTATCTGCAGTTGTTCTCGGTCTCTAAGGAGAGCAAGAGATTGTCGCCGGTTATTACTGCGAGTGCTGCGTTCAATGACTTCCGGGACGTCGCTGCGACGATAGGTACGTTGAGGCTCTGAGAGTTGTTGATGAAGTCTTGTTGGACTAAATGACTCTTTGCTTTTGGCTACAGAATTGGTTGATGAGGAGGAGAAAGCTCTCGATGTACTTGAGGATGGGTTGAAGAAGAAAAAGGCTCGGACGGGCGAATGGAACAAGAAGGTTGGAGGCTCATGATCAGCCTACCCTTTTAACTTTGAGAGCAGTAGCTGTATCGTAGGGTATCAGACGCACGAAAAGAAAACGAACTTCATTTTGTTCGCTCGAAGTACTAAACTCAAAAAGAAACATTGTATTGTTTTAAACAAGAAGTTTTTTAAATAACGGACGCGCCCTATTAGAGTCCGGACTATATTTAATAGTGTCGCCCGAAAGTGACAGAGAGGACTTTAAACGGGTAAGGACTTAATTCCTTGCTGAAATGATTCGTGTACCAGGTTAATATCGTCTAACGCATCATCTAATTAAAAGATTTAACAGATCGACGACTTCGTTCATATGCGATTCGACCACTTTTCACGAAATGTTGCGCCTTACACATCGTGCTTGGATATAAACCACGACGAGGGGTCTCTCGAGAAGCCTGCTATTTCAACGCTCCGCATGATTGTTGCCTCATCCGTGTCTCGCCACGCGCGGAGGCCCCAATCGCAAACGGTGTCAACACTTGGCATACGTGGGTTACTAAAGCGAGTGTATTCGACTCGGTCTGACTCTTTCCAAGCGTTAATTTCCATGTACAGTAGGTCCTTGAAACGACATCTTTAATCCACTTGATCACCTCTTGCTTAAGCCCAATGCTAACTGACTGCCTTTGATGAGGCATTATTGGAAATGACGGAAAAGTTTCTCTCCGTAGAATGGATGGTCAGCAAATTTGTAATAGCAGATTTGGTAGTTTTTATAAGGACTCTATTCAGGAGGGGCTTGTATTTAATAGTGCAGGCATGTAGCACTCCACAGGACACTATTCGGTAGGGGGCTTTTATTCGGGCGCATCCGTTAGCAGGTCGGTCGCCTCCGCATTGACCAATAAGATTCTATTTTTCTGAAGAGCTGAAAGGTGAGCTTTTCCGCCAATCAGGCACCGACTCAGTACGACCGACCAGAATTTGGAGGCCGCTCGTTGTGAGCTACTCCAAATTTGGCGATCGCCCATAAATCGCTCGAGCCTATGATACAGAATGATAATGTGCAATACGATCGTGAATTCTCTTAATCTTCAAGATGACGACGCCACCTCAAACGCCTGCATCCCAAGAGCTTGCACGCGTGTCGCCTTAGCCTCAATGAATCCGCAGCCCTGTGTCCACCGAAGTGTACCAGCCTGCTATGTTCAGCATCTACCGCGTAATTGTGTAGCCGATTGTCAAGGGAATCGTAGGGGAGCGCGACACCTCAGCCAACTCGCTCGATGCATTTATAGCTGCGGAAAAGTTATTCCAAGACATACTGGAGAAATTGTGGCAGCAATTCAGTCCACATATAAATAGCAGGGCTGTAAAATCGGACGGAGGCCGGACTGTGGAGCCTACTTCGATTGCGAGCTGGACTAAGCTCATGATCTATAAAGTGAAGAAACACATTGTTGATAACACAAAGTCAGAGAGTGATTGAAACAATTGGTTGCATTCAATGCACGATAAGACAATCACACTTATCATCTACGACTACGGGGCTGGACTTGGGAGAAAGCAGCACCGTGTAGCCTTCCTGCGAGAGTGTATTCGGCCGTTAGAGATTGATCGTGCTGGTGCAACGGCTGAAGGCTCGCTTTGTGAAGTCATGGGGCGTCTACAAGCTGTGTGGGGCGCTTCGTACAACAGCGCTGTTGTGTGGCGCATGTGAGCTAAAGAGGTTACCCGCAATCTTGACCGCTCCACTTGGGATGCCATCCGACAGCCCCCTCCACCTCACATTTTGCGGCTTTTACAAGTAAAAGATATTCGTGTTATGGAGTATCTTAATGGATTTAAGCGGTCAGCCAATCTGACACTTGAGTGCGTAAATGCATCCATTGCCGAGGTGAGTACACTTCGTCGTGACCTAGATGTGTATGGACGACGTCGAGAATGCTATGAGCAAGGCCTACAGTCTCACAAGTCCCAGATTGAGCCCGTCCTCCGTTGCTTTTCTCTTACAAACCCGGAATAAGTGGCCAATCCGCTGGAGAACATGGAAAATATTGAGGACGTCGAGCACCAATAATGCGAAAATTAACGACAGGTAAATATTTATTTACGCTGGTACATTAGTGAATTGCATTTATAATTATTCTTAACAGCATAAATTGCTATAATATCATTCAACGTAGCAGCACCTATTCGTATTAGACTGATTCAGGGAGCGGAGAAGAGCTGTCATTAAAACAAACCATGCAATTATGGAGCGAGCTGCACCGAAGCACTATTGGGTACACAGAGCCTATAGACATAAATTAAAGCAGAACATTAACCAAGAGAGCACAAGATTTTTTCTTGATAGCTAAATTTGATGTTAACCAACTAGCTAAGCGTACGAAATCCGAACACATCTTCACGCAAGTCTTCGTTTGCGTCCAATTCCGTCGAGCTCCGGTCCAGATTTGGAGCCGCTCCGTTCTCTGGAGACAGCAGACCTAAGAGATTGAAGATGCCCTCCACCGTCCAGCCACAACGCTGAAAGTCCGAGCCATGTCAAAGTTTGCAAAACGGCGGAAAGTTTCAAAAATGAACGGCACTAAATTATTGTCAGTAGAGTCCTCGTAATGCCTCTGGAACGCCTTCTTCACGTAGCCGAACAAATATTCAATAGGATTGAAAAATGGGCAATATGCCGGTAGAAAAATCGGTACTATTCCGATGCTTCTGAGGAAGTGAGCAATTTCGGGATGACAGTGGATCGATGCACCATATAATATCCAAAGCGAATTGGATCTCGGGTAAGGGCGAGCACCTGCACGCTTCGAATAAGAAAAATCTTGGCATCGCACGATTTCTATCCGGTAAAATGTCCCCCACAGAGTCGTAGTAGTCGATAACACCATTAACGCCAATGAAAGCAAGCATGGAAACTCGAGGTATTCTTTGGAGCTTTCCCTATGTCAAGTAAGCATAGGCAAGGTGCAGCACCTCTATGTCATGAGACTCATCAAGAAAAAAAACAATGTCTGTACTCATGAGCTTTCAGCAAATCGAAAAATGTTTCTTTCCTTTACATGGATGGCCCTGCGCTCTAATACTTTCCACGTTAGTCCAAAATCGTGGATAATTCACACACAGATGTCCTCGATATGTTGATGTGGGAGTGCTTGAGAAATGCATCATGTGCCTCGTCGAGGTAGGACAAAGGTCTCTGCTAAAAAAAAAACTTGCGAAGTCCCTCTCCTGAGAGCTTCCTATCTGTGTTTAATGTAGCTTGCTGGTAGGTTCCTGTTTCCTCATAGGCATGGATCCAGCTACTTATAGTCTGTTAGGTCTTGTTGTAGACGTGCGCCAGATCCTTCCGTGAGCAACCGAGGTAGTAGTAGTCGTACAGACAGTGCATCACCGTGCTAGGGTGTACATGCTGTCTTGTAGCAGCAGCTTTCATCAGTGTAGTCTCGCGTGATGCACGAGGGTTAGAGCCCGATACCACTGAAGATCGACGACGACGCAAATTTAATTCCAGACATGTCAGAGGGGCTGGACTGCATGGAGCCCGTCGAGACTTATCACCCTTTGAAATCTCATTTTAGTAGCAGTTTAGCATTAGATTAGATCAGTGTTTATCTAATTCACATGAAAAAAATGACTGTGCCTGATTTGTATAAACTCGCGCGAGTTATTCTGACTTTGTGCCTAATTCTTTATCTCGCGCGAGTTATTTTGAATTTTGCCTGATTCATGTTAGCTCGCGCGAGTTGATATGAATTATCTGACTCGGATAAAGCTACGTACAATTGGTTTCGGAGTCCACTTTGTATATGAGGACATGATGTCCAAACGCAAGTGCATCCAGCGAGCCGAGATAGAGAAGATAGAGCTGCTGGAGAAGTTGAAGGCCCACCCAGAATGACCTATAAAGCTTCTATCTATTAGAAGACGCTTCCCGAGAGCTAAACGCAACCCTGATGGGATAAAAAACAGCATTGGGATAAACTAGAGTGTGTAGAGGTCGGACCGCAAAAAGAGGAAGGGCGCTGGGTAAACACGAAAAGTGAAGCCCTATGAGGGCAGAGTATTGGATCACTACGATAATTTTAAAGGCGATGCCAAATACACGGTCTCGGATCTGTTGTTTTATTAAAAAAAAGCGTGAAAGAATTCTCTCGGGGCCTTCCAAACTGGTGCTTCATACAAGTATGCACCAGATCAACGTGCCCTGTCGATTTCCCACACTAAACAACAAAAGTTACTGATACACCAGCGACCCCCCCCCCTTCCGACACTCACGTGTAAAATTACGACTGTTTCGCCGACCCAGGCGCTAAAACCGTGTAACGCTAAAGTAGCTGTATCCCAGAATCGGTGGTTTGGTGACTACGAAAAAGCGGCTATTAATGATTTCGATGCCCGAAACGGCTACGCAGTCGTTCAGAAAGCACGGATTTTAGATACAAACAATTAGCCTAGGCGTATTCTTTGGCGAGTGACTGGTACGGCTCCCGGCGCCCTTGAATTTCCCCCGGAGCGAAACCACGACCGAATACATCATCGCATCGTTGTGGGTGACCCATGCAGCTCCCTGTCGTCCGTATATTTTTAGCTGACGGAATCCCAAGAAGATGGCTTGAGCACCGATGAACGGCGTATTCACACAATCATCCTCCCTCTGCAGGACCCACAGCCCATCCCTTCTCGTCGTGCATCAAGATCCGCAGAGGTCCGGCGTGCTATAGCTACAGATTGGCAGACAGGTACCGGAGCGGCTCAGACACTGCTCATACACTAGCAAGGCGTTTGTAAATAATCTCGAATTAATCCTTAAAGGGCCGTCCGTACTACTACTCGCACTACCAGGAAAAAATGTTTGGTCAACTTTAAAGACGATTATCTCAGTAACTCTGAAAGTAGTCGCAGTCTCACATATGTGCCAGCACTTCCTGAAACCGAACAGCACACGTAGAGTCTTCATTTTCCTGTATCCATATCTCAAGAACTTTTCATAGGCAACACAGAACGGTGAAATTAAGTTTGTCGGGATGGGTAATATTCAAAGTTGTTTTCTAAAGTATTAGTGTCAATTTCGACGAAAAACTACTTTTTGGCAAAAAAGACACTACTCTCAT